TAATAGTAATATTTAACAAAAAAACTACAATAACAAAAAAGAATCCCTTTAATATAAAAAAATAATAACACCAACAACAACATATCGATTTTTGGATTTAATAAGAATTGAAGTACCCCAATGTAATGCAAATAATTAATAACAGTTGGAAAATTTGTTGGTTGGGCGCCATTTTATGAACTACAAAAACTGTATAAACATTGGTTGGGAAACTATAAAGTGTTCTTGGGCGCCATTTTTGAACGTTAGAGTTTTGCTCAGTGGTCGACGGAGGGTTGCATGAAAGAGAATGATTCATAGTTTAGGTCTAGGACCCAATGTTGGGCGCCATTTTATAATTTGTAAAATATCACAGTTTTTAGGCCTAATAAAAATTGGTTCATGCTAAATTCATAATTAAACATGAGAATGGTTTTGGGATCTTGTTTTATAAATCCATATTGGGCGCCAGCGAAAAAGTACCCATTCTGAAAATGTTTGCTCAATGGAGTTTTTATTTTATTCTTCACTCATACCGAAAATGTTGGGCGCCATCAATCAAATCAAAAAGTGTTAATTATACAGGATCACATTTCGGCGCCTATTAAACATTAGTTGGGCGCCAGTTTTTATAATAAATCTTGTCACTAACCAAATTATAAAGCAACCAGTTAGGATATCCAGTTCTAGGGTGCTATTTTATACAAATTCTTATAAAAATTCATTTTATCTAAATTCATAATTCAACAACCAGTTTGGTATTGGAAATCTATTTTGGTCTTAGTTTAATCACTCATTTGTCCGTCCTTTAAACATTGGTTGGGCGCCATTTTGTTAGCAAGTATAAATTTCGCATTGTCTTGGGCGACAGCGATATCCACGTAGGGTGCATGAAAGAAAATGTTTCATTGTTTATGTATAGAACCTACTGTTGGGCGCCATTTTATTATTTGTAAAATCGACCAGTTTTTTTTTTGGCCTAGTAGATATTGGTCAGGCTCCATTTCATGTAAATTCATAATAAAACAATCAGTTTGAATAACACATGAGAATGGTTCATGATTTTATTTTAGAAATTCATATTGGGCGCCATTTTTATAAAAAATCATCGAGAAATACTTTGGACTCCTGAGTTTCCAGCATTCATGTTCTTTGCTTAGGCACCTATTTAAGCTCCCATAAAACATTAGTTGGCCGTCATTTTGTTTGTAAATGTAAATCGTCTCTTGTTAAATATTATATCATCCGTGGAGGGTGCATGAAAAACAATGCTTCATAGTTTGGTTCAAAGAACCAATGTTGGGCGCCATTTTAAAGTTTTTAAAATATCACATTTTTTTGCCTAATAAAAATTCATAATAAAGTAATCACTCGTTTTAGAAATTCTAGGACCTAAAGTAGGGCGCCATTTTATAATTAAAAAATCTCAGTTTTTTGGCCTAGTATAAATTGGTTGGGGAAATTTATTGAAAAAAAAATTGTTTGGTTGGCACAAGATAATGATTCAGGATCTTATTATAGAAATCCATGTTGGGAGCCAATTTTTACAATACAGCAATCAACATACACATTTTGGATTCATTAGAATCCACCATTCATGATCTTGGTTTAGGCATATATTTGAGTTCCTATTAAACATTGGTTGGGCGTCATTCATCATTGGTTGGGCACCATTTGGTTAGCAAACATAAATAATATGTTGTCTAATACATCAGGGTCCTTCGGCGAGAGCGATATTCATGGAGGGTACATGAAAGAGAAGAGCTCCATAGTTTAGTTCTAGAACCCAGTGTTGTTTTTATTTGTATAATATCCAGTGCTTAAGGCCTGGTAAAAATTAATTGGGCTCCATTTCAAGCAATTTTATTATAAAACAATCACTTTGGATAACACATAAGCAAGGGTCAGGATCTTGTTTTAGGTATACATGTTAGACGCCATTTTTTACAATAAGTGATCAAAAAGTTTTTAGGGCAAGTATAAATTGGTTGGGCAAATTTATTTAAAACAAGTGAAAAAGCGTTAAGTTCGGCCGGGCCGAACTTTGGATACCCTCCACCATAGATAAATTGACAGGTACTTGAAATGAAGATATAGGGAAAACCCCAAAAAGAGGACCTATACCGACATTTCTACAAACCGATTAGTTCAAATTCGAAGATGGGGAATATCGGTCCACTCCTTTTGGAACCTCCACACAGGGGCTAGGTCTAAATGCGGCTATAGTTCATTATCGAACCATACGTTCTAATTTGTTATCTCTCTATCCTCCGCAGGTGAAATTATTACAACAGAGTCTTAGAACCAAACTCCAATGGCGGAACAAATCAGATAACTATTTTAATATAAAGAAGGGGGTTATATGGGGACTACCCCAAAAAGGGGGGCGAATATTAATAATTTTTGGTAGGGAGATTTGTTACCATATACAACTAAGAAATACCAAATTGCAGCAAATTCTGTTGAAAAACGCGCTTAAGAACCCCAAAATACCGAAAATTGGGGGTAACCTTTTATGGGGGCTATCCGAAAAAATGGACCTATATTCATAATTTTTTGTGGAGAGATTTGGTACCTATTAAGAGCTCAAAATACTAAATTACAGCTATTTCGGCGGAAAAACACAATCAAAAATTAGGAGGTTCCGTTATATGGGGGCTACCAGAAAAAGTGGACCTATACTTATAATTTTTTGTGGAGACATTTAGTATCCAATAAGAACTCAATGTAGCAAATTTCAGCGAATTCGGTAGAAAAACGCGCTCAAGAACCCCAAAATACCAAAAATTGGGGGGTACCCTTATATGAGAGCTTTGCCTAAACGTGGGCCTATGAAGCCCATCTTCGAACTTGACCTGCCTGCAGACAAAAGACGACTCTATGCAAAATTTACAACAGACAGACGGACAGACGTCATAGAATTTTACGCTGATCAAGAATATATATACTTTATAGGGTCGGAAATGATTATTTCGATGCGTTACAAACGGAAAAACAAAACTAATATACCCTCCATACTATGTTGGAGGGTATAAAAATCAGTTTGGGAAGCACAAGATAATGGCTCAGGATTATGGTTTAGAAATCCATATTGGGCGCCATTTTTTATAATAAATCAATCAACATACATATTTTGAATTCGTAGAGGGTGAGTCTGTTCTGGCGAGAGGTGGCCTTACTTTTGTGTTGCTTACTCAGACCATAGTAGCATCTGTTGGCCAACATTATTCTCCTCCGGATTTCAAAGCTGATGTTATTAGTTTATGGCGGTACCGAGGTATATAAAATCGTTCACTATTTTTCACCTTGTCTGAACCCTCGTTCGGTATTCCGACTATAACTGCTGACCTTGTGCCAGTTAAAGTTATCCTGCATAGACGTATTAATTTTGCAGGAATGCCGAACGCAGACTTTAAACACCTCTGAACGGATAGGGCTGTCGAATGCGGCTTCGTGGGTCTTTTCTAGGATCTGGCACAGAGTGAAAATCTGGTCAAAGGTGGATTTGCCAGGTCTGAAGACGCACTGGTATGGTCCAATAATTTTTTCATTTTGTGCATAATAATTGTTGTGAACGGGACACAGGATGCTGAGGTTCCTATCATTGAGCATGCATTCCTGTAGCCAAATTTTACTAATCAGCGGGTGCATGCCCCTGCCCAGCATCTGACCACCGGTCTTGAATAATTCGGCTTGTAACCCTGCTGCTTTATTATTCTTCAGTCGATTAATTGCAATTCTGAACTAATCTTGGTTAGGTGGTATACAATCTATACCGTCATCTCCTATTGGTTCTGGGCTATCTTCTTCACCGCCACTATTTGATACCAGAAGCTTTTCAAAATGCTTATTCCAGGTCCTCAACATGCTGTCTGTATCAGTCAATAGGTTTCCATCTACATCTCTACAGGAGTATGTGCCTGCACCAAAGCCTTCTGTTTGGTGTTTTACTCGTTGGTTAAATTTCCGTACTTCATTCTGACTCCTGTACATCTCGATTTGCTCACGCTCACAGTTTTCTTGTTCTTTATTCTTTTTTCTGAAACAAAGACGAATTATTCGAAATAATGGTCATTGTGTCCGATCCTAATGAAACTGAATCCACTGATTAGTCTGTGCTCTTTGTCTTTGCAAAATCTGTAGTACCTGCGGATACATAAAGAACTTAACATTGTATCTTAAGTAAATAACATTGGTTCTATTAAGGATGTAGTCTTCATGATAGATAAAATCTTAAAAAAGGATATGGATTGCGTAACCATGTATGGTCCTGTCCATAGGTGAATGTCTCAGGCACTATCCAAACCCTTTAAAATGATACCCATATTTTGCCTTTGCGGGATTAGTAAAAAAGCCGTTTTAACCAAGATATGTTCCAAACTTTCAAGACCCATATCACGGGAAGTATGCATTTCCCCCACATAAAATATATATCACTCACTGTAATGAGCTCAACGAGAACTACTTACGGTAAAAATTACAAAGCTATCCAAGTGGAGCCCCTAAACTAGACTTGTTCCATCTTCACATATCTCTAACTACTATTTCCTCATTTAAAAATACATACACAAAATTTATTGTTTTATTATCTTTTTTTTATTAAATTTTTTTGTCCATTATTTCTCAAAAAATTAAGTATTTTATTTCTATCAATAGTTTGGAAAATAGAGAAATAAATAAATCAAGAACTCTTCTCAAAAATCGAAGATTTCTGTATGTTTTTTCTAGAGCATTTGTAGCTTAATACAAAACAAAACTAATAGTAAAACTAATTTCAATTCATTAGTTGGAACTAAGAATTTAAATGGAAAATGCCTCCAATGTGTCTCTCGCTCACTGTGTATGTATGTTTGTTATTCGTGTATTACTTTAACAAATGTTAATGTTGTTTGTTTGAAAGTAAAAAGCGTGTCTTTTTTGTTGTTTTTAATAAATATTTTTTTCATGTTATATTTTTCTTTTATTTTTCGTTTCTTCCTCTTTTCTTTTAACACAAAATTTGTTGATTTATTAAATGTGTATCAGTCTGCTTGTTTGTTTTTGTTTTTTCTTTAACTAAACTGCGAACTACAACTAAACTAGAACTAGAACCTATATATCGCTGAGTGGAACGATTTACAGTTCATCCTTCAAGTCATCGCTGTCTTCACTGTCTGTGGGTGGGACACCACCGGTGCCTTGGTACAACTTGGCAATGATGGGTTGGACAATGGCTTCCAAGTCCTTCTTTTGTTTCTTGTATTCTTCGGGATCAGCATCGGCATTGGTTTCCAACCATTTGATCGATTCATCGATGGCAGCTTCCATTTTGACCTTTTCGTCTTCGCTCAACTTGGCACCGAGTTTTTCCTTGTCACCGATTTGGTTCTTGAGACTGTAGGCATAGGATTCCAATTCGTTGCGGCTTTCAACCTTCTCCTTGAGTTTCTTGTCTTCATCGGCGAATTTCTCGGCGTCGTGGATCATACGTTCGATATCTTCGGGGGTGAGACGGTTTTGGTCATTGGTGATGACAATCTTTTCCTTGTTACCGGTGCCCTTGTCTTCAGCACTGACTTGCAAGATACCGTTGGCATCGATTTCGAAACTGACTTCGATTTGAGGAATGCCACGAGGAGCTGGGGGAATGCCGGTAAGATCGAATTTGCCCAACAAGTGGTTATCCTTGGTCATGGGACGTTCACCTTCGTAGACTTGGATGGTGACGGTGTGTTGGTTATCGGAAGCGGTGGAGAAGATTTGAGATTTCTTGGTTGGGATGACAGTGTTGCGGGGAATCAATTTGGTCATGACACCACCAACAGTTTCAATACCCATGGTCAAGGGGTTGACATCGAGCAAGACAATAGCATCGGTATCTTGTTCACCAGAGAGGACACCAGCTTGTACAGCAGCACCGTAGGCAACAGCTTCATCGGGATTGATACCGCGGGATGGTTCCTTGCCACCGAAGAAGTCCTTAACCAATTGTTGGACCTTGGGGATACGAGTGGAGCCACCAACCAAGACAATTTCATGGACATCCTTCTTGTTCATGTCAGCATCTTCCAAGACCTTTTGAACGGGTTTCAAGGTGGAACGGAACAAGTCCATGTTCAATTCTTCGAATTTAGCACGGGTCAAGGTTTCAGAGAAGTCTTCACCTTCGAAGAAGGATTCAATTTCAATACGGACTTGATGGGCACTGGACAAAGCACGCTTGGCCTTTTCAACTTCACGACGCAATTTTTGGACGGCACGGTTGTCCTTGCGGATATCCTTGCCCTTCTTCTTCTTGTACAACTTGATGAAGTGATCCATGACACGTTGATCGAAATCTTCACCACCCAAGTGAGTGTCACCGTTGGTTGAGACGACTTCAAAGACACCGTTATCAATGGTCAACAAGGAGACATCGAAGGTACCACCGCCCAAATCGAAGACCAAGACATTCTTTTCACCTTCCTTCTTGTCCAAACCGTAGGCAATGGCGGCGGCGGTAGGTTCGTTGATGATACGCATAACATTCAAACCAGCAATGACGCCAGCATCTTTGGTGGCTTGACGTTGGGCATCGTTGAAGTAAGCGGGTACAGTGACAACAGCGTGGGTAACCTTCTTGCCCAAGTAGGCTTCAGCGGTTTCCTTCATTTTCGACAAGACCATAGCAGAGATTTCCTCGGGGGCAAAGACCTTCTTGCCTTGGGATGTGTCAACGCTAATGTGTGGCTTGGAGTTCTTTTCGACAACCTTGAAGGGGAAGTATTTGATGTCATGTTGGACATTGGTATCGGACCATTCGCGACCAATCAAACGTTTAGCATCGAATACGGTGTTTTCAGGATTTGTGGTCAATTGATTCTTGGCAGCATCACCAATCAAACGTTCACCATCGGCGGTGAAGGCAACATAGGATGGGGTGATACGGTTACCTTGATCGTTGGCAATAATTTCAACACGTCCATTTTTGTAAACACCAACACTGTAATAAGGCGAAAAATATTTGGGGAAAATTTAGGTTAGAAACGAATTGGGAGTTAAGGAGGATTTTAAGCACTTAGTTGAGTGTTGGTTTGTAGAAAACTTACCAAGAGTAGGTGGTACCCAAATCAATACCAATGACTGTGCCAATGTCCTTATCTTTTTTCTCGTCACCAAGTGCGAGGCCAACAAAGGCCACTACGGCCAATAATGCAAATAATCTCATTTTGATTTTATTTGATTTCTTCTGTTCACTGAAGTGTATTTATTTATACTAACTGTAATAAAATAGAGAGAAAAAAATATTATAAAATATTTGCTTAAAATTTGCAATAAAATATAACCTAATCTAAAAGCAGCCGGTAGGAAACAGACACGACACACAATTAAAAAAAAAAAAAAAAACACCAAAGAAAATTGCCTGCGTCACCACAAATCGGCGTTCAATGTTCTTGGATAACAATGCAGGCTGGCCGGCCAGTCGTGCATACCGACAAAAGCAAACGTGTACTTCTAGAAAAAGAAGTCTAACTGGTTAAGCTACCACACATTACTAAAACTTTCTATTTATTCTTTAGTTAGACGGCAGCAATTGACCCATTTTTTGTTAAGTTAAAAACCAGTTTTGGGCTTAAACTTTTAAATCACACACACATAAACACTTTTCAGTATCTGCTGCTGAATTTAACCCTTTTTTATTTAAAAAAAATGTTACTTTATCCTATCACTTGGTTTATTCGTTGACGCCTTCTTCTTCTTCTTACCAGTAAACACGTCCACAACACTTGACAACTGCAACACAACTAACCGTACAATACTTCAGCAGTAACCCAAACTGACTTTGACATTGGCTGGCTGGCTTGCTTGTGCAAAGTTGAGCAGCGACATTGAGTGAGAAATGACTTTTCACTCTCTCTCTCTCTCGCTCTTATGAACACGTATTGAGTGACAATCAATATACCACAAGTCAATGGTAGGAAATATTAAATATTTTTTAATGAAAATAAAGGGAGAGTTCAAAGTAAACAACAACAAATGATCTTATCAGTTAAAAAAACAACAATAATTTGAGTGCAAGAGAAAGTTGTTAATAATTGTTTTAACAAATGTTTTGTATACGTGTTCATTTGTTATAGGCAGCCGCCGCCGGTGGCTGTCATAATGAATTGAGTGCGCAAGAGAGAGCGCCAAACACTCACTGTGTCAATAAGCCGGCAATATGGAGATGAAATGAGTAGAAATGCCAATGTTCTTCAAAGATTTGCATTAATAATGAAGAGACCCGTCAACGATTTTTCAAGGTGTTTGAACTTTGTGTAAAATGAAAAATAATATTAAATATATTAAGATTTACAGCCTGTTTTTGTAAAATTCCAAACGAACGAATTCGAGTGACTTACGACCAAACTCCTTGGTTTTGAAAAATATGTTATTTATTTTTGTTTTGAATCAGAAGACCTTTATAAGCATAAATATATATTTTTAAAAAACAGATTTAGAAATATAATTTATTCAAAATTATATGTAAGTAGTATTGAAATATTTTTTGTTATAACAAAGCAAGGGGCGGGCATTTGTGAGTTCCCTCCAAATATTCTTTGACAAATTGGGACAACTTATTCTTCTTCTTATTCTTCAACAAAAATATATGTCACCTAAAGAAAGTTAAACATTAAAAAATTTGGCCTATTTTTTGTTGTTATACAATAGAAAATAAAAAAGTGCGGGGGAACTTAGTTATTTATTCAGGTGATGATCGGCTGGATGGCTGGCCATTTAACTGACGTGTGTTTTTCTACCTTTCATAGGAAATAAGTGTGTGTGTGGCTTATTGTTGTTGCTGGTACTACTATTGTCAAACATCTCAAAAACTAAAAATTAAAACACTACATGTGTTCCTGAATAAACATGAATGAATAATATTAATTTGTTGCTATCCAACACAAAAAAACCAAGTCAAACTGTTGTTGTTTTTTAATGATCATCACTTTCTCAAACAAGTGACGTGTTCAAAGCCTATACGTCGACAAATGTTTTTTTGTTATTTTAATAAAAAAAAATGCTAAAACCGCCGACAAATGTGAGTGCTATTGAATTTTTGTGGTGTTGGCGTTTTCGGATTTGAATTTGTATATTTTTTTCTCTCACTCTCAGGTGTTACCGTTATGTGTATTTATAAATATTTTTTTAAAAATTTGATAATTCTTGGCTTATCAGTCAATGACTGATTTAGCAACAGAAATTATTTTATTGTCGCGAGTCTTCTAGAATTAAGAGAATTAAACCAATTTGTTTAACAACTAATTGAGGTGTTTTTTGTTTTTGGAATTATTTTCAAGGTTAGAAAAAAAATCCCTTTCTAAATATATAAAACTAATTTTGATTTAACATGAATTTGCATTATTAGTTTTTTTCCTTTGTTGTGTTGCAAATTTATGTGAAGTGTGGCACCAATCACTAAATGGGGTCAAAATGCTTCAAAGCAAATAAAAAAAAATCAAATTATTTTACGTTATTGACATTGAAAATTAAAATTTTAATGAGGTATTAGTGAAGAGCATCTTTTCAAAATCAAATTCATAGAAGTTGGATTAATAATGCAAATATTCAGGGGGTAATCTTTTAGGTGCATTATTGACATGGAATAAATATGGACTATAAGAATATAATATTGGGATATTTTAAAATCATTTTAAGAGATATTTTAAAATTTAAATTAAAACACAATTTTTTTTATTAATTATTTGTGTGTATCCAAGTCATTGATTTCTTCTGAATTCCATATGAATCATTATCCGATGATTTCACTTGTTTGATGTTCAATATTTTTCTAATTTCGCTTAAATTGGGGACTAAATGTTCCCAAAAAGAAAGATCGGACTACTTCTATTTAAAAAAATGGTGTCTTTTTACACTTTACCAGTGGAAATCAAATTTAGATAAAAGTTGTAGCAACGCATTTTTACTCCAAATCATTCAAAAAAATTCGGAGAATTTTCTAAAGGAGATGATCTTTGATGTTTTTTATTTTTCCAGCAATTTTTTAACATGATATCAAAAATTAATTCAGAACCTGCCAAAATATCGAAATTATTTTCAATTTTCCCTTTATACATTTTGTAAAAAATTCCCAAAAATATTTGATAAGGAAATGATCTATGATTTTTTTATTTTTCATGTATTTTTTATTTTTACATGATATGAATTTTGTAAAATCTTCCTATATCCTAATATAGAATTCAAAAACGAATTTCTTTCAATGTCTTATCAATAAGGAATCTATCAAATAATTCATATATAGAAAAAATCTTTCATTTTAAAATTTTATAAAGTAGATACGACCATTGTACAGATAGAGCATGCTTTCCTTCTTCCTATTTGCAATAATAAAAATAATCCTAATTATTTATTTCACTACTTGATAATTTGTTATGATAATAGTACTTTCGAACTGTTGTCGTATTTTTTTTTATCATTTTACAAAGTATTTGAACTGCAATAAATCCACGTGTACTTATTTGTTTAACAAAATGATAAGAACCAATAAATATTGATTCCAATAATACATACGAACAATTTGTTTTATCAATTTTGATTTATTGTCCAGAGATTTTTTTGATAAGAGCCCCGACCACTATTTTATACTCAAATCATTTTGAGTGATATTATACTTTTCTCCAATAATTGTACGGATTGAACTTGAAAATATCTAGAACATGACAGGAAAAAAAAATACTGACTGTTTTACAGTGCATTTACATTGTACCGGATTTCGCTGACCCAGTGATTATCAACATTGAAAAACCCAGGATCTGCACATAATGTGATAAAGGAATGATTTATATTTATGATTTTCGTTTTTTCTCTATTTAAAACGATATAGTTCGATTTGTACCATTTTTTAATATTAATAATATTTTTTAATTAATACATATTAAGCTATTCAAGTCATCCCGCTTGGAATTTACAAGAAAATGCCATGTAAGATATGGAAATGTACTTAATCACTTAAATTTCTTACAATCCACCCGCCTTAAAAAGTTCCCTCCTAACCAATTTCCACTTTGGAAAAAAATGTTGAAGCACATTGTGCATAGAAAGAAAATTTCCATACAATTTGGAATTTTTAAGCATATTTTATAATTTTTTATATTACAATAGGAAGTTTTCCCCTCTCTTTTACACCTTAATATGACGGTGAGTTGTAATGTCATCGGAAAAATGAAGAGATTTCTCACGCCCACATTTATTTATATTCAAAAACCATTATTATTTTGAATTTTACCTTTATGACAAGAATATTTATGTGAAGAATATTGCATAAAGTTTATTAATTTTCTTTAAAAAATAAAAAAAAGAATCTAAAGTTTTTGTTTATTTTCATCCTTCAAACGTGTCTCCCCTTCTGTATTGTCATATAATGACACAACGTGTAGCTACAATAAACCATTTAAATTTATTAAAATTATAAACAAATGTATTACAAATTAATAAACAAAAACTAAAATTTCCAAATTATCTTGTAAAAAAAGGTGGGAAAATCAACAACAAATTCTGTTATACTACAAAAATTCTTATACACGCACTCAACACTGTGTATAGCAGTTTCTCAGGGAGAGATACAGAGTGAGAGGGAAAAATGTCCCCAATTAATTTTCTCTGCACCAAAGAGGGAGACCGAGAGAATGTGGCTGTCGCCGCCAAAGACAATGCAAAAAAATTTTCCGGAATATTCTAGGTGTATTTTATGAGATGTATATGTAAAACTTTTCAATCAAATAAATATCTTTTTTTTTAACTATTTATATATTTTACAAGGATTTCCTCTTATTTTATAATATTTTTCTTAACATTTTCACATATTGCAATTTCCATAGATATTTTATTTATATATATACACACAGAGTTTGCAAAAAATGCCTGTATTAACCACCGACCAACAATTTTTTCTTCTTTGGTATTTTTAGATTAGTTTTTTTTTATTTTCACTTTTATTCGGGATTTACTTACTTTGTAATAACAATTATTATTTAATTAATATATTTTATGTTTTATTTATTAATTGTTGTCTTTTTTGTCTTAACAATTCTTTGTGTTTTGTTTAAAAAATTCACACAATATGCAGTAAAATGCTTGTTTTGTTTTGTCTTGTTCTTGTTGTTCTTTATTCACACGTTGTTTTCTCTTGCTTTGTGTTTTAGTAACTGACTGAGGAGACTTGCAATGTTGCGGCTTTTAATGTCCCATATAACTGACGTGTAATTTTTT